CCCGTGGGTGTTTCCCTGGCGCCCGCGCCGCCCCCAGTCGCCCGAGACTTGCGGGGTCAGACGCTAGCCAGATCAGCTGGAGCGCAGCGGGCGGGCGTGCCTCGGCCCCGGGCCCGGAACTCCGGGCCTCCTCGGCCGGCGTCCAGGAGCCCTCGCCCAGTTGACTTGAGGGGCGCTTGCCTGCCTGCCTGACCTCTTGGGGGAGGGGGGGAAGGGGGCTTGGCACACTTGCGAGAGGAGCCCGGCTTTCCCGTCGGTTGCTCGTTTTGGCTCCAGGAAGAGTTCTTCCTGTAGTTCCACTTGCGATTGGCCGGAGTCCCTCCAACTTCTCTGTTTACTGCCCGGCCCGGCGGCCCAGCCTACCGGTCGCGCGAATTGATTTAACCCAAGGCGGGCACGGCGGCTAGTTGCGCGGCCACGGTTGGCTGCAGAGCTTGAGCCCCAGGAACCTGGACTGGCAAAGGGCGAAGTGACCCCGAGAGGCAGCTCAGTGGGACTGGCGCGCGGTGGTCGGCAGGGCTAATAACAGCACCTGCAGGGAGCTCAAAGTTTCTGACACTTGAGTTTCCTGGGGATGAAAGTGGGACAGGAAAGGACCGAGGCGAACCGGTGTTTGACACGGTCATAGGGGGGCCCTTTGGAGAGCCAGGGGGATTTCCGTAGCCATCCGGGACTGGTGCTGGGAGCGTGGGAGGCAGCTTGAGGAGATAAAGCCCCCGGGAGTGGCGACAGGAGAGCTTTCGGCCCCTGGATGGTGTCCTTCTGACCTCACCAAGAAAACAGCGCGCTGTAGTTTTCCCGCTCCGCCCCCGCCGCCGTCGCCTCCCCTCCTTGCCTAGTAAATAACAAGTTACAATCATGGAGCCTTTCAAAATGACCTTCGAATGGAACATATGCGTCGTTTGTGCTGGCCATTTGCACCCTTCCAATTACTCCGAAATTCTTCATGCATACCAGGTCTTGCACTCCAGCCACCTTAGAGTCACACCAACACGGACTTGAGATTCCAAGCGGCCTCTTAGATACATCCCTTTTTATCTTCCTCCCCATTCCGAGTTCCTTCATATTTTCCTTCAATGGGTTGATTATGCACATTGACCCATTCAAAAGCAGTTGCGACTGACATGCAGGCTTAGCCGAGAGGAATTTCTACGAGGCGACCCACTGGGGGCTGTCTGGTTCAGCCTCTGCCGCTGGGGGACCGTGCTCGAGTCCGCAGCAATTTGGTATTAACTGCGTGGCTCAGGGTTGAGCCATGCCGAAAAGCCCTTTTCAGAATTTCTGCAAGGAATGTAATCCAAATTAGTTCTGCAGCTGTCCTCTTCCTAGTCTCCGGCGACACCGACTCGCGCCCTCGCTCGTCTCTTCCCGTTTCCCTGGGCGAATTGTCAGACCCACAAGTGAGCCCATTTAGAGCGCGAGGATTAGCGTGCCATTGTTGTTCCTTGTGTGACTCTGTACTTGAAATTCTGGGGGCACAAAGGCGAGCCTCACTTGTTCAAAACACAAAGTGATCTAGATGAAAGGGCCGCACAAAGAAAAGCTCTCGGGTGCATCCCTGGTATAATTGCAACACGCATACTAAGGTGATCCATTGGAAACTGTAAATGCCCCTGGGGACTTCTTTTTTCATCCTCTCTTACCCTCATCCTGGCGCACCTGCCAGGGAAAGTTCAGCTGGTTTTAGTTGTAGCGCTATTACAAAAGCAACTTGCAGTCTGGGGTGTGAGTGAGGCTCTGTGTGTCTGTGGCTGTGTATGTGTGTGGCTGTGTATTCCCAAATAAATACATATTGCGCGTTTCCCCTCTCGCGGTTAGCAGTCAGTAGCAGTTTGGAGGAGTTTGTTTTGGTCCAAATGAGAAATTAAGTGCGGATAAGTAAACTAAGCTGCCAGAGGGCGACAAGATGTTGAGTGAATTGCTTTTAGATGAAACAAATTAAGGAAACGAGGGAAGACAATCTGCTTCTCGCATTATTAGACACGCTTGGAGTTCAGGGGAAAGTGGCATATTTTTGAAATGCTAATTTCTTAAGAAGCAGAAGGAATGCACCTTATTTACTGCTCTATGTGAACAGAATAAAAATATAAAGCGATGGAATCTGTTGTATAGATTCTCAAGATATTTCTTTAGATAATTGTAACGGAAGAGGACCTGTTTAACAGTTTTTCTTTTGCTTAGAAAAAAATAATCAGCTTTTGAGAAGATAATTTTATAAGTGGTTTTGAAGGACTTTGTCCCCTTTCCAATGGTTCATCTTATCTAGAAATATTAAAGGCAAAGGCCCTTTGTATGACAGTTATAAGCCTTCACCACCCAAAGGAATAATTCTAAAATTTTTGTCTTCCTCATATGATGGGAAAATGGTCAATATTACTTTTGCATTAAAATAATATACACAATAGTATTGAACTATATACACACGTACGTTAATAGATGCATGATAAACAAGTTTAATTCTTGTTTGTTATTTGTAAGTAACTTAGTTCTGCTTTTCATTCTATAAAAGTACCTACAGCTTTCCTACCTACTTAGGATGTATCATTATATCTCCAAACATAGCTTTTTAAAAATTTTACATTGACAAAAACATTAATAAAAGTTAATTAAATGCTAAAAATACATTAAATATTTTTCAAAAAAAATCAATCCTCTGTCTTCCACATGTTTACTATAAGCACATCCCTGGTATTCTCTTCCCTTGTTTTTTCTTTTAATTTTGGAGTTCTCATATTTGTAAAAGGGGGCTTTTTAGGAGAAGGCATTACTTTTTCCTTCTGAATACTTCTCAACAAATTAATACCTAACACAATAACTGCAAGTGACTTGAAAATGCAGTATTCTATGTACCGGTATGGAAATTTCTGTGGTTGTGTCATGATTGTTTTTTTTCCTCTCGGAAGCTCAATTGCCTTTTTTATTTTAATCATGCATGGAAGGAAGTCAAATTTTGTTGAAAATTAAGGCACTTATTGCTTTATATATTTGTTCATTTAGTCACTGGAGATGTATCTTAATTAAGAAATTACATTAGAATATTTACCAGGGCCTGCACTTCATTGGAGATTTATGTATTTTTTATTCTAACCTGAACACAGGCTGATTTCTAAAGTTTGCATTTATTTGATGGAAAAAAATCATATTTCCTCCTCAAAGTGGATTCAGATAGTTAGTATTCATGAGCTTTCGTCCCTTTGGTTCTTAAATAGAAGTACTATTTATCATCTGTCTATGCATTCACCCTTTCCATCATTATAGATTCTTTCTCTTTATCTTACTGTTTATTGAATTTACACGTATAAATATAGTTTTTCCTTCCACCACTAAGTGTATTCTTCTTATGTGTGTCTTTCCCAGCAACCTGCCACTCAGTCACTGCAGGAGCCCTCTGAGCCAGTTTCCATTCTTTCTCTCTGATAAATCTGATATGGCTGGGTGGTTGGACATGCACAAGCCATTCCATTGCTCAGATTTATTCCTGAAAGAAAATAAAAAGGCATCGATCCAAGATCACTAGCACATCTCAAAAACCCTGACTCCAAGGCCAAATCTTTCCACAGAGAAGTCCTTCTTTCCCTTTTTCTCTCCCTCTTCTCCCCTCTTGACCAAGAAAGGAAGGTACACTATTGCCATTTAAAAAATGCCAGTGATGCAAGGAATTGTGCTCTTTCTAAGTATTCTCTGAAGCTTGGTGATTAGAGATGTTTTGAGATTGATGACCATGTAAGGTGCACATTTTAAACAATAAATTGAATGCCTTAAATATTGCAATGCTTTATAGTGGTGCCATTTTTGTACTATATCAAGGTAGTCATTAAGAAAACATGCACTTTTTAAAAAAAGCAGTAGATTTTGGCTTTATTTTAGTGCTCTGCTGCTGTTGCATATCCATGTATGATTTGTAAGTGCCTAAAACATAAATGAAGCAAATGATCAAAAGGATGTACTATTACCTGCAAACTTGTAGGCATTTACCCTATTTATTTTCACCCTTCTGAGAGATACGGGTTTATACAAATGTTAATATTTACACTGAAATTAGTTTATACATGTTCAAGCCTACAGCTCTCCTGAAAAAAATTTCAAGCAGTTTCCACTGTTATCTTTTACACTGACTGCTGAATATGCTATGCAGTGTAGAATTTAATCAAATTACCAACTTTTCTCCAGGTTAAATCATTTTAGAGATGTTCTATTATGTTACATTTTGCCATATGGAACCAAATTGCATCTTTTTTCCCCCTAATCTTCATTTTCTGAAGTATTATAAATATTA